AAAACGGTAACGGAAGGGCTGTAGATGATAGAAAAACGAAAAGATAAAAAATGGCTGTGAAAGGCTTGACGGAGCTCCTAAATCCCGCCTCGTCTTATCCTTTTAATAAAAAACAGTGTTTGAAGGAGCGTTTCCCTTACGAAAATTTCCTATAGGAATTTTTCCTATAGGAATTCCTATAGGAAAAATTCCTATAGGAAATTTTCGTAAGGGAAACGCCCCTTCAAACACTGTTTTTTATTAAAAGAATAAGACGAGGCGGGATTTAGGAGCTCCGTCAAGCCTTTCACAACCATTTTTTATCTTTTCGTTTTTCTATCATCTACAGCCCTTCCGTTACCGTTTTTTGGTCTCAGATCGCAGTGTTTTTGCGGGTGTATTTCAATAACAACTTTTTGTTTCCTACATTTTCTACATTTGATTTTTAGGATAGGTTATTTTCAGTTGTCCACCTGCTCCCCTTTCTAATGTTGCGGTCAATTGCGGTAATCTTGCGGTGGCCATAGGCGTAACTTGCGACACCATCCTCTGTCAAGTACCTTTTGTCATCGAAGCTACTCAGAGACACCTTGCTTAGCTGGTACGACCCGATTACATGTTTGACGCTTCTTAGTGTGTTCATCTTGTGATGCATCTGGGTTTTATTAGCCAGTGTGTTCTTGTAGTCTTCGTGTTTGATGTACTTTTTTACTACGTATTTTTTAACACCCTTTGCGGTCTTTCCTCCTTTCTCATTATCTTTCACATAACTGTACATTTTACTTCTTAATCCGACGAAATCCACTATCAGTACACCTGCGGCCTCGTCCTTCATTTTCCCAATCACCTTCTTATTTTCTGCGAAGTAGAACTTTGACCCTTTGTCGAACTCTTCTTTATCAGCAAGGAAGTCCTCGTAGACATCTTCTGCTTTTATCTCGTACATGAGACTGTCGGCGTCAGTGAACAGCAGCCTCGCTTTGTCCCCATTCTTGTCCTTAATGTAATTGTAGTGGAAGTCATACATCAGTGTTTTCGACAACTCGAGGATATACATGCCCACATAGGCTGGTTTGTCAAGTGTCAGTGATTCCCTGATCTTCTTGACCGCCACCAGGTTTTCGTTGAATATTTTCTGGGACACGAACGTCGGACTTGTCGGCAGCTTTAGCAGTGCATTTTATTGGTCACAAGTCTCACGTCAACTCCATTCCTTAGTTCCCCATGGTCTTCCCGAAGACGGAGTTATTCATGAGTTTGAAGAAGTTCTTCTCAAAGTCGTTCTTAGCTGCTGTCCTCATGGTTGTGGGCTGCACCCCGCTTCATTCTCCACCACATATGTGACAGGCTTTTGACTTTTTGTAGTTCTTCTCATCTTTCACCGTCAGGACCATTACTTTGTTGAACTTTTCTTTCAATGTTTTCCTGCAGTGTTCGGCTTCCTCTAACAGGCTTTGCAGAAATGTTCTCACAGCCACAGGACCCCTGTAGGACTTGTAGGGTCTTGAGTACTTGTCATCGTAGTGGCATACTACCTTGTACCCGTACGTAACTGCACCCCACGTGTTTGTGTGTCATTTTTTTCCAACTCTCTCCTTCTCTCGGTTCACCGTCTTTTTCCTCTTTTACTAACAGTGACTCGAAATCAGCGTATATCACAAACGGTACAGGTAGCTGTTTGCTGTAGTTGACGAACTTTACTTTTGAGCCGTGTTTTCGTCCTCTGTGTCCTGTTCACTAGGATGCGTGTTTCCCTGTGGCTCTTCAAGTATTCCTCGCTTCTGCAACCGTGAAAACAGTTCATACAGTGGTACATTCTTCCTTTGTGTTTTGTGTTGAAGTCCTTTATCAGGATGTAGTGGGATTTACCGCTTTCGTCTTGTATTAGCAAAACTTCCATGTGGTCCTCATTGGTTCCGTCTGACACACGGATTGGGTAGTAGTTTCTGTCTCCACTGTGACCGAACATTGAGATGTTAATGTTGTTCTGTTCTTCAATCTTTCCAATGCTGGTCACTTTCACCGGAAACTCTATGCCCTCATAGTTGAGTGTCTCTGCGAATCCTCATCCGCGACTCTCACCCATTGTGCGTTTCTCTTGTACGGGTTAAGGTGTCTTACATGGCGCCATAACAAGCACTTGTCGTCTTCGTTGTGTGTGTTCAACAGACTGTTTCTACTGTACTTTATACTTGGTGGTGTGTCTATAAATGAACTCCCTTTCAGTGGCTTGCACTTTGTTATGTTTATTTCGTGCTTTTCCAGACCTAGTACCCTCCAGTTGCTTCCCCTTTCCTGGTAGCCTTCCAGCTTAACCTGGATTACCTCGGCGTTTCTGTCCACCACATCTTCCACTTCATCGATGCTTGTGACAGCTACTGAGTATGTTTTAAAGAAAACGTCCTGCGGTTTGTTCTCACTTATTAGTCCCTTTACCAGTCTAACTGTTAGTGTCTCACCGACCTTCACTCCGTTTTCCGATTTGATCGGCATCCTAAGTAGACGTCTGACTGACCTTCTGCTTTCAACCAACTGCTGTAGTGGGTCTTCGCTTACCTTTTCCACTTCGTATGTCCTTGCCGACTTCTTCAGTCCCTGTTCAGCATCCCATACCTTCGGTGCTCTTCCCAGCTTTGTCTCTGGTCCCCCTTTGGTAGTGGTTGTTGGTCGTCTTTCGGTTTTTCCTTTTGGAGTTCCTCTATTGTTGCCTTGTCTTTCATTCTTTCCTTTTTCAACTCCGCGTTTTCAGTACTTAGCTTCTCCGTCTCCTTTTGCAGTTTCGTGAGTCTCTTGATGATTTCGTCGATTGTTGCCATGTCTTTCCCTATACTCCTGTTTCTGAAATTTTTTTTTGGTGAACGCACCTTGGTCGCCCTAGAGGTCCTAACTTTTTTCCGGATTTTTTACGCCTCCCAGGATAGATAATAGGGACACTCTTTCTCTTCCCACCCAAGGTCCTCGTACACCTTTCCGCACAGCCTGTTCTCCAACAGATCAATAATTTTTTTAGTCCTCAGTTCTCCTGGTGGGTCCCTTAGTTCAACCTTGTTTGTACTTGCTAGTCTCAGTAGGTAGAACTTATAAAATACAAAATAATGGAAACCCCGAAGAAATTCATATTTTTAATTCAGCGTTTCGACTACTGTTGAGTCATCATCAGGAATTATGAAAGCTACTAAAATTTTACAAGTTATAAGTACAGGTGTGTTATAAAATGATCTAATCTGTCAACAAGTTCTAATTAAAGATAACAAGTTCTTTTGACGCTTTAGTCCCATGGTTTAATTCAGGATGCTGTCTGTGGATATGTAAAGCTTCTTTATATAGTAGAAGCGACCAGTTCATAGATTTATCAATAATTACAATATTGTTAAGAACAATTTGAGGTAGATCATCTTATAACACATTATAAGATCATCATTATACATTAGATCATCTTTATACATTAGATCATCATTATTCATCATTATACATTAGATCATCTTATAACACACCTGTACTTATAACTTGTAAAATTTTAGTAGTTTTCATAATTCCTGATGATGACTCAACAGTAGTCGAAAGGTTGAATTCAAAATATGAATTTCTTCGGAGTTTCCATTGTTTTGTATTTTATTAGAATACTCAAGTACACCTGACTATATCCCTAAACTGATTGCTCAGTTTTTTCCTGTGCTGATTAGCAACATGTTTTACCAGTAGTCTTCCGAACCAGCGTACTCTGTTGTGTCTGCTCTTTTTCTTCAGGTAGTCGTCCTTGTTGTAGTTGTAGCTGATGTAGTATGTTAGTTTCAAATTGTGTCCAGTTCCACATGACACACAAGTTTCCCGTCCGTCCACCACTACCAGGTTCTCCTTGTTGCACTTCCGACATCGGGCGATCCTACCCTGTCTTCTTACGATTCTGCTTACCACGTACTCCTTAATGGGCCCCTACGTTCTGGTATTGTTTTTACCCTCTTACCTACCCTTGCCATCTCACCCACGGTTACCTCGAACAGCCAGCTCAGGTTATCCATTTCTTGTATACATTTACAACAGAAAATATGCAGCACCACCGACCCCACTTCCAGCCAGCACACCGAAAAGTGTCATGTACTCTTCCATCTCAGGGCTTGGTGTGTAGTGGTCACTAGCTTAGCTTGGGTTGTTTTGGTTTTGGCTTGGATGTTAGTTCTTGTATTCTCCTCACTTGTTCCAATGCTTGGTTAGTTGCTTTTATGTTACTGTTTGCCATAGCTAGTTCTTCTCTCAGTTCTGAAAGCTTGTCCTTTCTGCTGGTTATCCCTTCGACGTACTTCTCCCTTTCTTCTGTTACCTTCTCCATTGCTAGGTTGTGTCTTTCGGCCTCATCTGCGTACCCGCTCTTGTCAAAATATTTGAAAAGATAGCCTGCCCCTGCAAACGCAAATGCATTGAAAAGTCCGCCTGCCACAGCACTTGCCATAATATATGATTACATAGATTTACCTTTTGAAAGGGTCGTCTGGTAGGAACTTTTCCCTTTTCAGATATGATATCAGTAGGGATAACACACTTACAGACACCGCTAATTTAATGAATCTCTTCACATTCTCTGGTGTACCCAGGGATGTAGGGACCGAGGGGGGGGGGGTGTGGGTGTAAAGACAATTTGAAAATTTCAGGTAAATCCATGAAAAACTGGCATTAATAAATCAGGTAAAAAATCTTGAAAACCCATAACGAAAACAGGCAAATAATAGAAGATTGAAATACAGAAAATAGATGAAGTTTTAATTCTTTATGGCTTCATACGTCGATACGTTCAGACTTCAGAGGTTTCCGTTTTATCAACGTAGCCAGGCTTTATTTTACGAAAAGAATATGTTGTCTATTTTACTATTTCCATCGGGAAAAAAAACACATAATTTTTTCGCTATTAAGCAACATGCGCTTCCGGTTTTGGCTCTACACACAAAGTCAAGGTACGTGCAAGAAATTATATTAATTTCATCTACTGTTTGATAGTAATACAGTGTATTTGAAATACATAGAAGACATAGAATTATTTGTTTGCTTAGATTAATACAACAACAGGGATATGATATCCGGATGTAAATTTTGAACGTCTGTATGTGTGATGCACATGTGTGATGTGTATTGTGTGTCGTGTATTTTGTCATATTTTTACTTATATAGTAGTTCGTTAATAATTCTACACAAATGGCCGATATATACGCAATATTCGTCAAATATCTAAAGATTTGTCTCGTAGATTTGTAACATTGTTGAATAGTTTAGGTTGAATGAGCCATTAGGAGGGCATTGTCCTAGCCTTACTGTTCTCTATATTATACGCGTATAATCTTTATATGCATTATTTATTACACAGTGAACAACGTGAACAACTACGTCTTGAGACTTGATGTTAACCTAAGTATGTGACTTTTTGTGATTTTTGGGCAAACAAAAACGAGGATTAATGCAATTAATGGAGAAACAAATTGGTCTTAAGGACACTTTTAATCCGTTCCTAAAGGTATTGCATCAGTCCTGAAACACCAGGAACAAAGCCCAGCATTACACAGCGAATTGTCCGTTTACTTTAAAAATGCGCTGAAGGAACACAGACGAATGGAAGAAGAACGTCAGTCACAAGGTCTTGAGGCAAAACCCATGTCATGTACGATCGCTGCAAACATTGCTTTAAAGTGGCCAAAAAGCATGGTCTTTTCAAGTTGGCTTCAAAGTTTTATAAACAATTTTTGACAGCCGTCCATGCTGTTGGCGTTGTGAAAAATGAGAGATCATTCAGTTTACTGAAGATTGTAAAAAGTTGTTCACGCAATAACATATCTGGAAAACGTTTGAATGATTGCATGATCCTTACCGCTGAAAAGAATATCACTGATGTCTTTCATGTTACTGCGATCGCAAAAAAATGGTCAATCTTGGAAAACCACCGATCGGCGATTGCTTGAAAACAATAACTTACTATTGAAGGTTAAAAACATTAGTTAACAAATACCTACTATGTAACATTATTGTTCATTGTTTGTGTGATGTTACTCTGAGTGTATATCCACACCGGGCAGGCTTGAAAAATATACCTGGCCACGGCGGGATTCGAACCTACGACCTTTGGAATACTAGCCCAATGCTCTTCCAACTGAGCTACGCGGTCAGGACGGTTCGAGTAAGCGATATTTCGGAACTGAGTCTAGTTCCTTCGATATCAGTGTAATTTAATATTTATGAAATCTGCTGTGTTGGTGTAATGTACTCAGGTGAATAAGATGTTTGTGTGATGTTACTCTGAGTGTATATCCACACCTCGCAGGCTTGAAAAATATGCCTGCCCACGGCGGGATTCGAACCTACGACCTTTGGAATACTAGCCCAATGCTCTTCCAACTGAGCTACGCGGTCAGGACGTCGACGGTTCGAGTAAGCGATATTTCGGAACTGAGTCTAGTTCCTTCGATATCAGTGTAATCTAATATTTGTGAAATCTGTTGTGTTGGTGTAATGTACTCGGGTGAATAAGATGTTTGTGTGATGTTACTCGCGTAGCTCAGTTGGAAGAGCATTGGGCTAGTATTCCAAAGGTCGCAGGTTCGAATCCCGCCGTGGCCAGGCATATTTTTCAAGGCTGCCCGGTATGGATATACACTCAGAGTAACATCACACAAACGTCTTATTCACCTGAGTACATTACACCAACACAGCAGATTTCATTATTGTTCATTGTTTAGGGAAACGCAGTTCTATAGAGTTCAGCTAAAAATTATCTTTATTATATAAATTACATCAATTCACAATTGTCGTTCCTTTTCCCTACATAAAAAAGACGGATGGACTGCTTCGACAAAAACTTGTTAAAATTGACTATAGTTATTGGCAGGCCGAGAGGTTTTTAAACTAATCAATGTGATTATGGTATTTTAGATTTAACTATACCTAATTGATAAAATGAGTGGAGAGTGCTATTCGGAGTACTCGGTTTGTATATGCTCGTGTTCTTCTCGTGTGGCTTATACTCTTTAATTTAGCAGAACAAATTAACCCAAACATATTATATTGATTGAAAAAGCAAGAAAAAATGTTGTAAAATTAGATGTGGGTTAAATATCTAGCTATGTGCATAAAAACTGTGCAGTGGAGAAATGCACCACAACATTGCAGTCCGCAAAGATAAAGGGGTTTATAATTTCAGGTAAATTTTTACAATAGTGTAAAATCAGGTAAATTACTGCATTGCACCCCCCCCCCCCAACTAGCACACTTTCGCTACGTCCCTGGGTGTACCCAGTGGTTCTTTCAAAACCTTTTTCGATACCATAGATACCCCAACCGCACCAGCTGTTAGTAACACTGCATCGTATACTTCGTTCGCCATCTTTCCTTCGGTACTCATTCTGCTATATGTTGTGTCATGTTTAACCAGTTACTGCAAAGTGTCGATGTTGGATGACTCAGGGTGCTTGTGATTGTTACTCTTTCTGATACCTTGTGCTTTTTCTTCCTTCCTGTTCATCTTGTAAGTGATGTACAGAGTTACGACTGCAACCGCAAGTCCTGCTATTGCCAATGTACCATTTTTTCTGAAGAACCCTGGTGCTTTGCTCTTCTCTTCTAACCTTTTCTTTTGGCTTTCCGTTGCCTGCCTACTGATAGCAGCTAAGCGTTTCCCAGCCTCAACCCTTTTGGGGTCCTTATTCTTCTCACTTGTTACTTTTCTTCTCACTTGTCTCAATCACATCTGCCATCTTCTTATGAGTTACCTTGTGTTTAACTGGGTAACGTCTGGAACGCTTGTGGCTAAGCTACCAGAGGACCGGAGGCCTCACCTCCGGCGACGTCCCCTATACTGCCTACGTCTGTTTTGCCTTTCCTGCCTCTGTTTCTCCATGTATCTTCTAAGCACGTCTACAGCTTCCTCATCACTACTGTTCCTACGTGGCCCACGTACTGCTAGACAATCTGCTGCACGTACCACCATATCTAAGGTATTCTCACGACACTCTGTCGCGATACCTTGGAATATCTCAACAGCAAGTAGTAGTCTTGTCACTGCGTTGTGTGTGCCTGTTCCACTTCTCACACCGTACCTTCTCAGGTTAATCTCAGACGTTACCTTACTTAGATAAACAAGGTCCTCAGCGTAGTTGTCAAGACATCTTGACAATCTGTCTGTCATGTCTAGAGCACCAGCCATTTGTCTCCCCAGCATTCTACTCATTCTCCTACCACGTCTGCTAAGTGTGTCCACCAGATCGGAGTGTGAAAAAGTCAGTGTGCTGTGTGGTTCTTCTGTGCACGGTCCTGGTGTGTTTTCCCTCAGTATGTCCGCTTTGAACTCAGCTTCTTCCAGTAGCTCCCTGGTATCACTTGTTAGTAAGTTGGCCCCGGTCCTATCATGCACCCACAATGCTAGTGACCTCAGTCTGTGCTCTTGTGTGTCTCCGATAAGTGTGACTCCAATGTTTTCGAGGTGGTCCTCCACCCATTCCTCATCCTCGCAAGGCTCGTCCACAATTGTCTTTCTACATAGCGGACACTTGTTTGCGCCTGCAGTCATTAGTCCCTTAAAACAATTTTCATGAGGTCTGTGACCGCAAGGTAACACAGCACAGTTACCTTCGAATATACTTTCCAAACATATCGGGCACTCGTCCTTGTTGTTGGTTTCCCTACATGTGTGTTCCTCATATTCTATTAGCAGGCATATTTCACATGTTTCGCAGTGAAATGTGTCTTCTTTTCGTTCCCTATTGCACTTTTCACAGAACTTAGTCATTTCGCTATACCCTTATGTATCAAAAAACTTTTTCGGCTGAACGCACCTCTTCCTATAGATTCATAAAAAAATTCCTGAGGGAAATCTTCAGGCGAATTGAACTAATATTTTGACCTCCGTGGGAGGTTGTTACTTATACTCTCAAGCTTCCTACTCAGCTTGTTACATTTGCGTTGGAGTGCAGTGTTCCTTTTTCTTAGTTCCACTGTTGTATCAGGTGTGAAGAACAGACATATCCCCCTAATCACTACATCATAGTCGTTGGATAGAAGTGCCTTATATCCTTGCTAGCTCACTCATTCTTTTAAGCACATATTCCTGTGAGTCGCTTAATACGCCCCGTCCCTTGGGGGTCTTCAACTCAATGGCCAATCCGGTGAAACCGATGTGGGGACTTGCTATGAGTATGTCTGGTTGTCCCCTCAGGTATTCCTATCTTGTGCTGTCAATTCTTTTCTCGGGTGTGTCCTAGTTTTCACCTAGGCCGGCTATTATGATGGATTCGGGGTAGTACTTCTTTATGAAGCCCACGACTTTGTAGTGGAGGTCGGTCTCGTTCATGAGGTGTATTTGTTTACCGATGACTGGGAGTGTGTATGTTCCAGTTTTTCTTGTAGATGTGAGCACATCCTTAAAAACCCACCTCCTAACTCCTTTGCCCTTTTAAGTTCTGAGCCAAAAATTAGTTGGTACAACCCTTGTTCATTAATCAAAACTGTTCAGGGATGACCTCTCAAAAGGGGCCCTCCGGCAGGGCCCCTTTTGAGAGACTACAGCGTGCACTTATCTTCGTCCCAAACATGGTCTTGGACTGCTTTTCTCGGTCTTATTTACCCCAGAGCAGATGCCACATCATTTGCGTAGAACAGCACTCTGTTATCGTCCTTCAGTACTCTGACGCTTACTTGTAGCGAGTCGCTTCGAATTGTTTTTCCATCACCCCCTATACTATTGATTTCGAATATTATTTTTCCTGCGGACGCACTTCCGTATAGGTTTGAAATTTTTTATGTAATTTGGATGATCACGTTGACTGTCTCCTCAACGAACTTTATGAAGTCAGAGCTCAGTCTGGCAACCTCAATCTTAAGGTTCTCAACTCCTCTGCTGTCTTCCTTGATTTTTCCGCTTTCTCCAAAAGTTCCTCTATCACTTCCTCGAACTCCGTACCCTCCCATGGATTGCCCCACTCGTATGGTTCCATCAGTTGCGACATCTCCATGTCTTAACATGTGTTTTATCTTCCAACCCACGTCAGTTAGTTTGGTAACTACCTTCTCTCTTCCCTTGTTCCACATGCTCTTACCATCAACTACCCCGACTTAATGTGCCCATTCTTGTTTCTGCCCTTCTGTACCGTTCGACATTCTTGTACTACCACAGGTTTTGGCTTCGCCGCGGTCCACTTATGTACAACCACATGTTTTGCAGTTGTGCACCCTCCTGATATCAAGCCGATCAGTGGGATGTGAGGGGATATCATTCTCGTGAGGCTTGTGACGTCTGCGCGCAGAAGGTCGTCTGCCAGGAGTTCCTCTGAAAGTTTGTCTTCACTTGCCACAGCATCCAAACCCCCAAGGATGCTTGCGAATTTGGAAATTTTTATTATGGTCATGAAGTCACTTGCCTTTCCCAACTTATGTGCCTCGTATTCCGCGTACAGTTTCTCGGTCCTTTTTATTCGCCTTTTTGATGAAGGATGGGGTCTTTTCTATGAGTCTCTCACACGCAAGTGTTTCCAGTTATTTCCTCTTTTTCTCGACAGGGGAGTTCGGATCCTTTAGCGGTTTGGCTGCCTTCTCAATCTTTTTGAGTACGGACTCAAACAACTCAGTGTCGGACTCACCTCCACTATCCGCGGTAGCCATGTATATATTACCGCAGGTTTAGCGGTTATGGTTTTGACAGGGTGAAACCATAGGAGTCTATCAGTAGAATGTCTAATGTGGTGTACTTTTCCCTTCTCAACACTCTTGTTATGTCTGAGATCAGGTCGTGCGGCACACCATTCAGGTAATCGTCTGTTATGACCTTTATGTCTTTTTTACTAGGATTGTAAAACGTCACTGGTCTACTTATGTTTTCCCTAAATGGCTTGCTCACTGAACTCAGTTGTTGTGTTAGTACAATTACAGATAGGTTGTAATGTCTGGCTGAGAATGCTGGTCTCACCAGTTCCGATACTCTCTGCTTCACAGCTTGACTACTCGGACAGTCGTCTACTACTATCAACGTGTTTGTTCCCTTGAATATGACTGAGGTCACTGATAACACATGATTAATCATTTCTTGTGAACATGGGATTTTTATGACCCCATGGTCGTTTAGTTGACTCCAGTTGTTGTACGTCGTATTCCATTCAATTGTTGGGCAAACGACGACAATGGAATCGAACACTTTGTTGTATGCAGTTTCTATCATATCCAATAGGAACTGGGTTTTTCCACTTCCTGTCATTCCAACTAAAAGCATGCTAAAAGGCGGTTGAGGTCCCATCTCTTTGTGTTACCTTTAGTATTACCTAACCCTATCAGCCATCCTTTCTTCGAAACTCTTGGGTTTCCCCCATTCCCTGGCTGCCTCATCGGTGTGTATTCCGAATCATTGCGAACCTTTTCTGCAAGCAGTTCCTTGTACTTATCAACTATCAGATTTCCACTGTACCCGTGTTGGTCTGGAGTGATGTACTCGCGTTTGGTATCGGGTTCCATGCGACTGTTAGGCAAGTACTTTCTGTTTCCTGTTAGATGAGGAATCTCGGCTAAAATATCCTGTTCGTCGTATTTATTAAGCTCATCTACTAACAACTCGACTTCACCTAAAATCTCCCCGAGGTTGCGATCGTCATAATCCTCGTCCGGCACCTCCAAAAGGCTGTAATCATCACATCCCTGGTAGTCTTCGTCCGTGTCTGTGACTGATCTACCTTTGGTAATAACCGTACACCAACACCTATGCAGTCACAACAAGAACCCACAAGTGTGACGCAAGCCACACAATACCCTTCGCACTCCACGACAGTGCTGTTGCAATGGCGTTCAGAACTGGCACAAGAATTGGGGCACCTTTTTTGGCCAAGTTGGCAAGTGCTTTTGCGACCTTACCGGTTACCCGAGCAGCGGTTACCGCTGCTCCCCTAGCGTGAATTATCAGAGTAGTTATCAGGGAAGCGGTTGACACAGCAAATCCTGCCAGATCCACCATGTTTTCCTTTAACCATTTCGCGAACCTTTTGAGCTGTCTAATATCGGCTAACTCTTTCTCGACTCCTCCACAGTTCTCTGCAGAACGGTCCTGTCTCTCGCTTCCCTGAGTACGGTGAGCCTGTCCCCCACTCTTGTGTCTTCCTCCAGTCGGTGGTCCGATTTATCTCGCTGATTGTTTTATTGATTTCGTCTTGGAATAAGTCCACTTGTCCTTGTAGGGCACCGTCATCACTCAGACGCGACTCCCGGTCCATCGTATCAGGGGGATCAAGGACTCCTCTCAGCTCAGTGTTTTCTTTAGGGGTTAGACCTGGTATGTCAACCCCGGGTACCCTCACATCCATGAGTTCTATGTTTTCAAATGTGTTGTCCTCATCATAAAATTCATTCAAGGCAGCACCTCGATCTGCAGCTGGTGACTCTGTGACTACACATTCATCGTCACCTTTAAATGTTTCGTGTGTGTAAACTTGGGTGTTAGTCGACGGTTCGTCCCTAATCTTCCTCACTAGTTCCTTGTATTCTCTCAGTGCAGTGGAATTCTTAGAATACGTTGGGATGCTTGTTTTTCCACGTTTCATTATCTGGACACCACTTTTGTCAATGCCTTGCTCACTTCTAAACATCAAGACCTCAGTGCCATCTTTCAGTGTCCTGACAGATGACCGCTTGATAAGTTCCCTAACGTTTCTGTTCCTAGGGTCTAGCACTATTTTCTCCTTTTCTTGAACGACCCTTTTAACAGCTTGCACACGTTCCGCCTGGTTTTCAAAGTCCCTTTTCTTATTTGCTCTGAGTTGGTCTTTTGAGAACTTTTTTAGCTTTGAAAGTCTTTCCTTAATGTCGTCCCAACTAGCGTCAAATGAATCGTCGTATGCGTCCAGTACGTCTGTAAGCAATCCAGCTGGATCCTCCACGAACTCAACACTTGGAACGGCGGTGCTCCCTGGTGGTCCTGTGATGTTTACGGTTCCATCTTCCCCATCAGTGAAAGAGTATAGGCTGTCCCACGTTCCTCCATTTTCATCTTCACGTAATCAAGTTCACGGTTAATGTCGGTGATAGCTAGTGGCTCTGAACCGTATTTTGCCTCTCTTTGTAACCTCTCCGTCAGCTGGTCAAAGTTCGACAGCATGTCGTGATAACCCATCTCGTCATATTGGGGATAACTTTCCCTCACCTCTTCCAACTCAATGTCGTCGCATTCTCCGTCGTCCTCCATCTCATATACTAACTTATGTTAGCGACTTAATGTCCGCAGCTGGTATCCAACTGTTAAACTTGTCACCGTAACCCAACCATTTCACCTTTCACTATCCTTCTCCTCAGTATTTTCTCTATCTTGAAATCAGGTTGTCTTCCTTCAGCGCTGGAAAGCTCCTGTTCGTAAAACCTGCCAATTATCGGTTCATCAGCACTGTCTTTTACCATGTATGTGTTTGGGTGACCGTGGTACACTTCCGTCACAGTGAATATCTGCTCCGTGAAGTTTGCCTCGTTCCCCTTTGTGAAAATTGATTTGTACTTTGAAATCCCAACACTTTCTCCAATAGCAAACTTCCGCTTCGGTGGTTCACCTAGGTTGTAACTGAGAAGTGTCTTCCATACTTTAGTCCAGTTTAACTCATTGACACTATCTGGCCTTACTTCAATTGACCTGTTCACTGAACTGTTGTAATTGTCGGTTAAGTCTTGAAGGACGTCTAACCATTTGTATGTTCTGGCGCCATAGAAGTACTTCCACATTAGTGTTTTGAGTGTTCTGTTAAACCTTTCTACAACTGCGGCCTTTTTGTCTGAGTATGTGGAGAAAAACTCAATGTTATGCTTGTTGAGTAACGACTTTAGATCCGCGTTGTAAAACTCTGTGCCATTGTCAAACTGGACTAATTTTGAGTACTTCCCGAAGTGATCCTTAAACTGCTCCAGACAGTTGCTAACGGCGCCGTCCATTGTAACTGCGTTTTTCCTTTACACAGGTACAGTGAACGCGTACCTACTCAGAATTGTTATAGATGTTAGAATCCATCTGGATCCCTTATTCTTGTCGTCGTACTTTGTCATGTCGACTAAATCCATATGTAACTATTCACCTAAAGTTTGGACGAACGTCTGTCTAAACTTGTACCTCCTGAACACTTGCCTGTATCTAGTGTAGGTGTCCTGCTCCTTTATCCATTTCTGACCTGACTTTTGGTTACTTCAAGTCCGTCTGATATTGCTTTAAGGTATAGTTTCTCTGGTGTTTGGAACCCTGTGTTTGGGTTGTAGTAAATATCTCTTAGACCTTGCTCATTCATGATATCGTCATCCATCATATACTAACCATTGTAAGCCCACTATTCAAGATACATCTCGATATACTATATCAATCTGTTTTCCGTCCTGGTCCGTCACATGGAATACAATTTCTGAGCACGTTCCCTCAACAACTGGAGTCAATGTAGCTGGCCATTGAATCTAACAATGACCGGTTTGTTGGGACTGTAACACTTGTTATTACATCGCTTGGCTTCCCCTAGTGATTGACATTGTAGATTTTGCTGGCGAGGAACCTTAGACCGTTGTTGAAGTCAACCCTGCTTTCACCACCTGCGCTGGCACCTTTTGCTATCACAAGCTAATCACTAAACTGTTTCAAACCGAGCATATCTAATAGTTTCCTTTTAATTGTAACCTTGTGTTTTATCGTCTCTATCCAAATTTTGGCAGTGTGGTTGAAGTACGTCAACATGCCCCCGCTTCTTTTCAGTTTTTCTTTCATATCATTAAACATGTAGTATCCCGCATTCACATCTACATTGACCAGTCGATCATCTCTTTCAACTACCATTAAATTTGTCTGTTCCCTAATGTTTAGGAACTCCCAGAAGACCGCCACTTTTTTCACAAAGACTGAATCGTAATTGCATTAAAACCGTAAAATTCATAGTTTCACTAACATACGGTAGGTTAGGAACCATGGCACAGGACACTGACCCCTTCGATAAGTACATGAAAATTCTCAATGACCCTAAAGTTCAAAAGAAGGCTGATGTAGCTAAACGTAAGTCAATCGGTGGCTTCAAGATGAAGTATCCCAATGCAGACATGAGTAAGTTTGACTTTCGGGTTGACATAACGATGGACGGAAATGTGTCGGGCGTTACCACTTACTTCAAGGTTGACGACGACACATCATACGACATTACTTCCAACGTATTCACCATAAATCCTAAGTGGGTGGGGTTATTTAACATCTTACCATGCAGTGAAAAGCGGTTGGCCACTTATTTGGGCATCTTGTAGTAACATACCATATTTCTTACATCTGGTAGAACCTATGCACGAGTGGGGAATTCACCACTACCCTGTCTTCCAAAGGTGCAACCTTGGTTATCCTATTCACAATTTCAGGGTATACGTTTCCGAAAGCGAATATTTTGACTCAGATTTCCCACCCATCAAACTGTTTGATTGGAAAAACAAGTCAGTACTCTACGAAAACAACAGGGGCACAATTGAGCTCCCAAGTGGGATTTCAACTGACATACGCGCTGTCAAGATGGACTATGTCAACGACCCTTACTTCGCTCAAATTTGCTCAGTTTACATAGCTACCTTCTTGTGTGGCATTTCCTTGAAAAATCTAAAGGAAAACGATTATGCTCCCAAGCAAATATCATCAATTGCTAGGTACCACCTTTACTTCACCATGAGAAAATTCATTAAAAACTCAAAACTTATGGATGTGTACGACCTCAGTGGAATGAGGGGTTACCTTCCAGTTAGTATTCAGTTTTTCAACAAGGCCAGTCATGGTGGAGGTACCTAGGTTAAGGCTGGTTGGGTGAACTACTCCAATACTGATCACCTTCACCTCGTACCGTATGACTCCAACGGTATCACAACAGTTGGCACCAAGCTGTTGATGGAAAGTGTGGAAAGTTATGTGTACTCTGTTCTGGGAGCGCAGGCTAAGCCCAGGTGGAGTATTGTTAGCGTTCAGCTTGGTAAGTCACTGCAGACACAGGAATCCTTCCGCCAGATTGTTAACGACACAATTGTTCAGACAAATGATAACACAACTATCACAAATATGAGGACTGCTATCACGGACACAAATGTTGTCCTGAACATGGCCATTAAACCTGGAATCATACTCATTCCATCAAGGTTGATTATTCTTGAGAAACCCATACCTGGCTAAAAAAACGTACTCTCAAGTCCAACAAAAACCACAATATTTGGAATAAAAACAAACTCAACTATGTGTGTGTTACAAGCGCTGTTAAGCCTAAGAAGGAACATCAACCTGATTCCCCCACGTCTCACCTCAACACAATCAGTGGTAACAGTGTGAGACACAAGAAGGTCAAACTGATTCCTCCAGCGAGTGCACCTTCAGCACTTCCAAGCAGTTCACTGGTTAGAGTTCCAAACAGTTCATCCACTGAGGGAGCCATTGCTGGTCTTGGTATTGGATCAGTTACTGCCTACCTACTTCTCAGAACTATCCTGTAAACATCTTCTATGTTATTAAATGGCACTATAACAAGGCTACAACGGTGAAATAAATGTTAACATCACCACTGGTTCAGGTAGTGTGAATGAAAATGGGTTTACCATGAAGGGTGACATTGAGATGGATGGTAATGAGGTGAAAGGTCTGGGTGCACCTACGGATGACACGTCTGCTGTTTCTAAGAAGTGGGTTGATGATAAGATCGTTAAGCAGGCTGAAGTTACCATACAACCATCGGGTTTCACCGTGACGGGTGACATCAACATGGGTAACAATAAGATCACTAAGCTTACCACTGGAAGTGACTTCGAGGACGAAGCCAATGTACAGTACGTGCATACCTACAACTGGAACAATTACCTTGCACTGAATGGTTTCAACGCAATGAAAGGTACAATGAATATGGGTGGTAACAACATTCAGGGTCTTCCGACTTCTATGCTGAGAAGTGACAACGCTGTTTCCAGGTTCCACATGCGACAGTGGACTGCTGGTCAGTACGTTCCTTTGGACGGGTCACGTGCAATGTCAGGTGACCTTGACATGTCAACCAATGAGATTAAGAACCTAGGTGATCCCTCAACTAACAAGTCCGCTGTTTCTAAGGACTGGGTTGAAGGGAAACTCAATTCACCTGTCGCAAGCCTCAACATTGCGGGGGACATTGATATGAGAACCTATGAGATCAAAAACATTGCTGCGCCATCTACTGGTGACTCAGCTGTATCTAAAAAGTGGGTCGACACGGCAATAGACTCAAGACCATTCCTGAGGAAAAGTGGTGGGTTCATGACTGGACTTTAGGAAGCATTAATTTGGGTAACAACCAGATCACACACCTTTCCAGTCCAACAACGGATTACGCTGCAGCTAACATGAGTTATGTGAGATGGTACGCGGGGGAAACCTGTATTCCAAGAGATGGATCAGCTGGTGCAGCCTCCAACCAGGACGCTGGTGGTTATGAAATACGTAACTTAGGCTTACCAACAACCGACACCTCCGCAGTAACCAAGAAGTAGGTCGTTGACCATTTCAAATCAGACCCTGTCAGCAGTGGTGGCGTTAGGATGGTTGGTCAGATTTACATGGGTCTTTTCGAAATAATAAACCTTCACGTGGCTAACTCTATTAGTGTTAGTAGCTAATTCGCGGTGAACGCTGGTTGGGGGAAGTACTTTTTCCTGAGTAAGTCAGGCGGTACCGTCGGTGGTGATCTGGACCTTGGTAGTCATGAGGTGAAGGGCTTAGGTGATCCAACCCCGGATAAGTCGGCCGTTTCCAAAACGTGGGTTACTGATCATGTTAGCGGAAGCTCAATCAATAGCATTGGCTTCACAGTGACAGGTGGTATTGACATGGGAGGTCACAGAATAACTGCTTTTCCAAATGGATCAGGTGGCGACACTTGGGGTTGACAGTTTTTTGAACCTAGATGGTGGGCCTCCGGCCAGTGACCTTGATGCTAATGACTTTGAGATGACCAGGTTGGCTAACCCCACGACAGATAAATCAGTTGTGTCCAAGAAGTGGGTCATTGAAATTGTTAGTGGAAGTTCAATAAATACTGGAGGCTTTACTATGACAGGAAACATTGATATGGGCGGTCACACCATTGGAAGCTCAGATTGTCTTCACCTAATAACCCCAACAGAGAGTCGGTGCCTAACACTGGGTGGGTCACAGACAAGTTTATGAGTAAAGTGGTCGGTCTAGGGGAAGGTGATATTACATGGGAGATTCTAGTGACATTGTTAACTTACGCGATCCCACTAATGCCAAGGATGCTGCGAACAAGCAGTGGGTGGAAAACAACTTCCTCAGTTCAAAAGGACATATTAGTGCAGCTGGAAATATTGACCTAAATGGTGGAAGTGTTTTGAACTTGAAGACGGTACCACCTGATGGGAAGGTTGGAATTAACAGTGACTGTGCTGATACGAGGTATGTGAGGAAGAACCACCTTAAGTGGCAGTCCCGCTAAGAGCGGTCCGATGACTTTGACTTCGGAAAATAGATTTCCTTTATTTTTTGTGTATTGAAAGGCATTGGTATACAAGTGTCCAAAATAAATTAATTTTTTGAAAATTCTTTTTTATGGCTTCGCTAGACGCCGAAACTCATTTTACCCGTGCAGAGCTAATTTCAAGCAAAATCGAAGGTTGAATTTCGGTAAAATGTAGAGCCGCGCTGTGTCAAAACGCCTGACTATTTCCAAATTTCAACTAGATCAACAAGTTAAGATACAATTCAGGTTCCCTGTTCCAAAAAATAAGAGCATTTGAATAAATTGTGAATAAACGATAGCGACTTGACGGCACACCGGTTTTTGCTTCTTGTTCGGTCTACAAAATTACACTAAAATCGAAGCCTGAGATCTCCAAATGGGGACCTAAAATTACGCTGAAATGTGCTTGGTTGTAATGATTTATACTTATTTTCAGAAGATCTGAAGAAAAACCTGCGGGTATCAATCTGTATTTGGCGCGAGTTAAGATTTTCTGGAGCCCATAATCAATGATTTTTGCATAATTTAAAGCTAATTAACATATTTCTTGAGAGGCGCTAAAAGTAAACAATTTCTTTCTGACTAACATATCTCAGATGAAAGAGACTACCACAGCTGGTAATAACCTTTTTGTAAATATAGTCGTAATGTTCTTGAGAGAGAGCTTTGTTTTTGAATGTTATGCCACATTTATTCAGTCTGACCAGGTTCATAAATGTCACGAACTTGTATATTTCAAAAATATCAGTATACCACAAATCAGAATTCAGAAAGACCGATTATTCTTTCCTTGATTCAGTTGATGGATTTAGTTGATTGATTTAAAAAACTATAAGTATAATAGAACATTCCATGTGTTTCCATTGCCCCTATATATAGGGCTAGAATTTTTATCAATATGTTCTATTTTTCTGTGGCGACGGCATATTAACAAAATACGACACAAAAATGTACATTCGAATTTTATATGACCGACATATCAGAATGTTATTTATGAAGTTTGAATTGAATTTACTTAACGCGAAATAAATACTAAAATAGGAATTTTCTATGCTGGGTTAGTAAAAGAAAAAGCATAATTTTAAT